CCCACCCGCCCCGAGTTCGAGCTGCTCAGCTAGTGACGAAGCAAAGATTTACAAGTGCATGTTCAACGAAACTAAAATTGATCCATGTTGCCCAGTATTCAAGAGCACACTTGGTACTAGTTGCCCTTGCTATAAATATGCAGAGAATTTGGGTAATCAAGAGTTAATCGCTCTTCAAGCTTATTGTGACATTGATAGCCCTTGCAAGGGTTTGCAAGTAAGTTCATCTGTAGTTTAAAATTTTGACACACTCATTAAAAAGGGTTATTTAATAATATTAATATTGAAGTATATTTGACTAAATTACCCTTACATTTTCCTTAAAACAAGTGATTAATAATTAAGATAAGTGAGACTTGCTTAGTTGGTAAAGTACCTTTACCCGCGAGCGTCAGGTCCTGGGTTCGAGTCACGCTGGAGGAAAAGTGTGGAAACACTACAAAAAGTAGCCTAGTGCACTAAGCTCCCGCTATCCGCGGGGTCCGGGGAAGTGTCTGACCACAAAGGGCTTATTGTACGCAGCCTTACCCTTTATTTCTGCAAGAGACTGTTTCCACGGGTAGAACTATGTGATCTCCTGATCACAAGGTATCAACTTTACCAAATGACCTCCAACTATAGATCCTCCTAAATTGGGAGGGAAAAAGTGATTAATAATTGTACGTTTCTTTTCTTTTTCAAATTATTTTTCTATATATGTATGTAATGATGCATTATGTTAATTAATTTCAGGTGATTAAGCTGTCCAGGGAGGAAGAGTAAAAATAAAGAAACTTGATATTTAATTCCAGATCTTGTATCAGATGATTTGCTGTTAATATTTCTGTTGAATAGTCTTTAAACTATGGTTTAGTCTACCATGTTTTAAGACATTGTAATTTCTAGGGGTAAACTTGTAATTTTCTGTTTCAAGCAATAGTTTGGCATATCTGTCAAATTCTTAGCAATAATTTTCTGTTTCAAGCTATGTTCTTGTACTCATTTCGCAGCCCAATGTTCTCTACTTTTCTGTATTATCTTCTTTATTTTTTGATTTCTCTAATTTCTTATTTCAAGATAAAATTAACGACAATTTGTTAGAATAAGAAAGATAGGTTACAAATCTGCAACGATTACTGTATAACCTCTTTTTACTTTCTAAATTATAAAGTCGTTTGATTTTGATATATTTGTTCCCCAAATCTTATTTAGTTCCATCAAAATTTTCTTTTGTTTGAATCTTGAAGAAAAAAGAGAGGAAAAATATGATGGAATAGTTAAATAATTAGTTGTGATACCTCCGTTCATAGCCTTGAAAATTTAAAAAAAATGTCAAATAGAAAGTGTTTCTCCCTTATTTAAATTACTCAGCGAATTCAAATGAACAATGATTTTCGAATAAAATATTCATGAAGGAAAGAAAGAAGAAGATTTAACCTAAATAGCAGCCCACCTAATTAACTTAAAATAGCCATTGGATATATAATTTATATATAATATATGTATAATTATATATAGTTAATGTATAATCTATGTATACCAATTAGGAAAGGTAAACATTAAATGTGGTTATTTGTGTAACAATCCCACAAGAAAACAAGGATGGAGAAGTTTGCACTAAATAACAATGCCCGGAACGACGTAGTCAAGACAATGACTGCAGCGACTGGAATATAAAATATTATCACGAGTTGATTGGGTGAAGTGATTAATTCACAGTTGTATGATTGGTCATATAATGCCACATAGATTGAGCGATTCACTAATTTTGAAATTATTGTTGAACTAGTGAATTTGTAAAGACCTTACTTTATTTGTAAAATAATCTATCTATATCTATATCTATCTATTTATCTATCTATATCTATATTATTATAAAAGCACGAATGTTTCACAATAAATATTAAACGACAAAAATATTCTTGAAATATTGTTAGACATCCTCCGAAACATAAATTATTTCTTCAAGAAAATAACAGAATATTGGATAAAATTGTAACTTTAGGTGCCTAAAATATAGGAGTTTGAAACTAACTAATTTTAGAAAATTTAAAGCTGTAACATAATGTGAAATTCTAACATCACACGAATTCACTTGGACAATAACAATGGCCATTTGAATAACTTTGACTGAAATTCTAATTCAATTGCTTTCGGCTGTTCAAACATTATAATAATCAAATACTTGAAAAAGAAATTTATTTCCTTAAAAAATATTAATTCTACTTTGGAAAAGAATTGTAATATTAGACATTGCCTAATTTTAGGACCTTGAGTTCGACTGTAAATTTGCAATAATTTGCTAAAAGAGACTTAATTTAAATAGGAATGGATTAATTTATAGTTTATTATTAAAGGAAAAAATAGGAGGCAAAAGCCTGATACTTATTTTTGGAGTACGATTTACTTATTTTCACATCTTGGTGCTCTTATATGTTTTACATATCATCAGTGCTCTTGTTTCCGGCTTCGAACAGTTGGTATATATAGCACTTGATGTTTTCTCTTTACTTTACTTAGTTTTGCAGCGGAATCTTCAAACAACTTAAGCCTTTATGCATGAACAAAATCAAGTCCTCTACACCGATAACTGTTGGCAGTCAGGTATCGATAGACGATAGAGATGAAAAAGAGCTTAATAATAGATATGTAAATGACCGCTGCAAATTTATTTTACAATTCTGTACTCTTCATGCTAATTTCAGTCAGGTACATTTAAATTATCTATGACGGAATTTTCTTTTTAGAGGTAGACAAAATTACGACATATCATTCACATCAACAAAGTGCTTTTCATGAGCCCTTGGGCCTTGGATGTACTTATTTTGCTCTGTTTTTTCAATTAATAGAAAATATATATTACTTATGTGTTACCCTTTGGTTTCAATTATCACAAATATAAGTAATTATCCGTCAAATTTTTCACGATGTGGCATGAACGAGTCAACTGCTATTGGAACATATAGTTGGTACTTAAAAAGCTTCATAATAACTTCTACATCTAAAAAAGTTGAATTTTATTTTAATTTTTCATTAATTTTATCCACTTCTTATGAATTGATCTAAAACGGTCTCGAAAGCCATGACATAAGAGGTCTTCCAACTCAAAATAGCAAGAGACTCTTAAATTGGTCTTATTTTAATCCAGTGTATTTGCAAATTAATTCGAAGCGAAGAGAGGAAAATATTTAATGCAAATTCTACGGAAATCAACTTAGGAGTCAAAAGCCCATGATTATTGCCGCAAGCATTTTGAAGGTATAATACTTGGATTATATATCATATTTTTCTATTTTTGTTTTGTTTGAAGCAACTGATTATTGAACTTAGTATATATTCACTAACAATTAGTTATAGGGTATCTGCACAATTGATAGTTTATCACCTTTGGAGTGCGTTTTATAATATTTGATACAAAATAATGCGTGCATCGCACGAACATAAAAACTAATAATATATTAAAAGCACGAAAGCCCTTAGAGAAATATAGTTCGCTTTTTCTACCCTTCTTAAGTCAATTTAAGCTGGATAAAATTGTAAATACAAATAAAATTCTTCGTTGGGGGAAAAAATCCGTAGGCTAAAAAGGAAAAGAAAGGAGATAACTAGAAAACTCCTTCTTTAATTAATATCCATAACAAAGAATATTTGAAATTGTAACAAGAAAGATAAAATTGTCGTATGATAATAAAAGGAGAAATGTTATAAATAGAATTTTATTTATGGTGAATGTCTATATTTAGAGAGATTCTATGGTTTATTACTTGGTCGCTAAGTCACCCTCTCCCTATAAATAGAGGGTTCTATTCCATTGTAATTCATCCCAAATCAATAAGAATTCTCTCTCCCTACTTTTCTCTGCAATATTGTTCTTCTTCTTTTATTGTTTTATAATACGTTGTCAGCACGAGACTCTAACCAATTGAGTAGAAGCTTTGAAATTGAGCATAATGATTGTCAATTGTTCCATGAACTTCCTTCATGATTAAATTCTGGATTTAAGGTAAGTATTTTACTTTATTTTTCTCTTTTAAATTCTTGAAATTCTATAATTTGATTTTAAATACAAGCAAAGACAATAAATTCGATTATAACTCTAATGAAGTTAGTAAGAAATTATAACCATTTGAAGTGGTAAAATTTCTATGTCTTGCCATGATCAAGTCATGTATGATCGTGAATACAAGAAGTGAAAACTCGTCCCATTGAATTTGCTTTATTCCTATTCCTTTAAGAGAATGTGGTAGCAATATGTGATAAGTCTGAAAGAAGACAAAATTATTACTATGAATATATCAATGGATATGGATGTGGTAATAGACGAAATTATAATCGTCATTATTGTGGTAATGAGAACAATAAGGATTCTCAAAATAATCCTTCACTCTGTAAAAGTAATATTTGTCATCGATTTGACATGAGATTTTATAAAGCACATATAAATGATTATGGTCCATTCATGATGTGAATGTGACAACATCTGATTTATGAATACATATTCATTTTTGGAAGAATATGAACGTGCTAGTGGTAGTGAATATACCACACTCACCTCTAGAAGGAGGTTTGAGATGATATAAGAAAATAATGTAATTATTATGGCATAAATGGTCATTGGTGACGTACTTATTTTATGCCAAAGTATTTTGGCATTGTGATTATTAAAGACATCGGTAATGCAAGAAACAGATCTTGCATATAATTTTGACCATAACCATAATGGTATAACTTTCTTCTTCAAAGAGATATTTACCATATGGATGTTGATGAATATGAGGTACTAAAAAATTAATTGAGAACTCTGCAAGAGCCAATTATATTATTTTAGAGAAACACAATTGATTACCAATAAGGTATTGTGTTTGTGATGACCCAAAAGGTCATCACTTGTTTTGAAAGAAAATTCTGCTTTCCGAGGCCTTAAAACCTCTTTCTGCATCACCTCAATTTGCGTGCGCAGTCCATGCACGTAGCAGGAAAGCCAATATGTGAAAATCTGTGAAAAATGATGAATTTTGACTTTAAAATAAATTTAAGTTGACTTCGGTCAATTTTTTGGGTAAACGGATCCGGACCCATGATTTGACGATCTTGGAGGGTCCGTAGAAAAATATGAGACTTTTGGCATATGCCCGGAATCGAATTCCGAGGTCCCAAGCCCGAAAATGAACTTTTTGAAAGAAATTATTTTGCTGAATTAATTATGAAGTAAAGAAGAGAATTTATGTATGAAACCATTGGTATCGGGCCCGTATTTTGGTTACGGAGCCCGTTACAGGTCTTATATATGATTTGAGTTGAACCTGTGAAATTTGGTAAGAAACGGACTTGAAATGATATGAATCGGACCTTATTTGAGAAAATTGAAAAATTTGATGGTCTTAAGAAAATTTCATGATTTTGATGCTAAATTCATAGTTGTTGATGTTATTTGAGAGATTTGAATACACAAGCAAGTTCGTATGATGTTTTTAGGTTGGTGTGCATGTTTGGTTTGGAGCCCCGAGGGTTCGGGTGAGTTTTGGACATGCCACGGAGTAGAATTGGACTTGGAAAAATTGCAGGTTTCAGCTGTTCTGTTGCAAGCCTGCAGGCGAAGCCTGGCTCGCAAATGCGAGGGCTGAGTCACAAATGCGAACTAGCCCAGGCCAGCCTTCCCTCGCAAATGCGATGTTCCCCATTTTGGCCAGTCGTCACAAATGCGACAGAATGTTCGCAAAAGCGACTTCGCAAATGTGATAACAGCAGAGTCTGGGTTCGCAATTGCGCACCCTGGTCGCAATTGCGATACCTGCAACCTGTAAATTTACACTTAGACGCATTTTTAACTATTTTTCACATCTTGTCAAAACATAAACTCTCTTGGGCGATTTTCCAAAGAAAACTTCTTCTCCAAATCAATTGTAAGTCATTTCTAACTAGTTTTCTTCAATGTTTAACATCTTTTCACATGATTTCAACTCAAAATCAATGATTTTCATGGGGGAAATTGGGTGTTTTGGGTAGAACCTAGGTTTTTAAAAAATTAGGGATT